TCATTCCCCGGCCCCCCTTCCTGGGTGAGTGTTGAGGGGGCGGGCAGAGGGACATGCGCAGGCAAAAAAAAGTGAACAAAGATGATCTTGGAGGAGGAGTGTTGGGGGAGGGACATTAAATCATTTGGCTTTTTTTAAAAAAAATTAAAACAGCAAAAAATCGAGAATTATTGTAAACCCCCCCCCCTAAAAAAATTCCTCTGGGGAGGCCCCAAACCCCACCTCCCGCTCAATTCCCACCCCCCCCTGCTCTCCCATTTTTCGTCTCCTCCCCACTCCCATGAGTTTTCGATCCAGCCCCAAAGCAGATCGGCTGGGTTTTCCTTGGGGGAGGGACGGACAGGAATTCAAAAGGGGAGGCTGTTTTTTCTGATTGCTTTTCCCCCCCCTTCTCCCGAGGTGCTATGCAGCCGCTGAGGGCCGGGTGTTTAAAATATTTTTCGTAACCCTATTTTCATTTTGGAAAATATTTATGAATAAATAGTTTTATATGATGTCTTCTCACGCACGAAATGGGGGGGGAGAGTCACCGGCAACCGGCAGCTTTTCTTTCTGCGCCGTGGACAGCGTCGGAGAGGTAAGGGCGGGGGGCAGAAACGAGACACGCTCCTTGCTGCAGGGTTAGCTAGAGACGCAGAGCCAGGACTCCTGGGTTCTCTGCCTGGCTCGGGTGGTTAGAGCGACGGGGGCGGGGAGCCAGGACTCCTGGGTTCTCTCCTTGGCTTGGGTGGTTAGAGCAATAGGGGCTGGGAGCCAGGACTCCTGGGTTCTCTCCCTAGCTCGGGATGGGTAGAGGGGTGGTTAGAGCGACGGGGGCGGGGAGCCAGGACTCCTGGGTCCTCTCCCTGGCTTGGGTGGTTAGAGCAACAGGGGCTGGGAGCCAGGATTCCTGGGTTCTCTCCCTAGCTGGGGAGGGGGGTGGTTAGAGTGACCGGGGGCTGGGAGCCAGGACTCCTGGGTTCTCTCCCTGGCTTGGGGAGGCGGGTGGTTAGTGTGACGTCTGCCCCTGCCTTAGTCCTGTGCCATTTTTTCCTTGTGGATATAGTTACACACACACACACAGACAGACACTCGAATTCGTCCCAGACCTTATTTTGGTCTATCTTTATTCTGAAAATACCTTGGTGAGATTTCACATGACTATGTGCCATGGCTGGCTGGGACTCTTCCTTCTCCTCTCTTCCCTGCCCCCCCACCCCCCCCAGTGACTGGCTGGGACGGGGGATCCCCTGCCCACTGCAGGAGGTGACTACATGGTATGTTCTGGGGGAGGAGATGCAGCCCCCTCTGTGGGAGCTGACAGATGGTATGTTCCATGGGGGACCTTGCCTGGCTCTGGGGTCATGCTCAGCCCCTCCCTGCTTGCAGGCCCAGAGCAGGACCTTCCCTGCTGCCTGCTCTGCTTTCGGCTTAAAAGCCCCCCTTCCCTCTCCCTGGAGCAGCCCCCCCCCCCGGTGCTGGTAACCCCACTGGCTGCTGGGAAAATCCCTCTGTGGGGTGGGCAGGGCCCAGCGAAGGGGCTGATGCAGCCCCACCACCTGCTGCAGGCTGGCTGGTAAGGGAGAGGGCCAAGGACCCCAGCGCCACAGGGCGACCAATCCAAGGCCAGGAGAGACTGGGCTGCCTGTGCCTCAGTTTCCCCTGACTGTCAGATGATGGCCCTGTGGAAGGCACAGGGAGCTGTCCTGATGCATTTACCCTGCGCAAGGAGACAAGCCACAATCCTCTACCAGCCAGGTGTGGGCCACAAAGGACTCCAGTGTGGGCTGGGCAGGGGTTCAGCAGAGGGGCAGAGACACCCTGCAGCAGGTGCTGTTCACCTCTGTGGCTAAAGGGCTGGGCCTCCCCAGCAGCCATGGTACAATGAGCACGGGGGGGCAGGGGAGGAGAAATCAGAGGCAGAAGTGGAAATTGGAACCCAGGAATCCTGCCATCTCCCCCCTCCAGGAAGAGCCAGCCAGCAAACCCAGGAGTCCCTACACCCAACTCCACTCCCTGACACAGGGCTAGGCCTCCCTACCCCCCCTCCACCCCCGCAGAACCCCTTGGCTCCTGCTCCCTGCACCAGGGATAGAACCCAGCTGTCCTGACTCCCAGCACCCACCTTCAGCTGGAACCTAGGTGTCCAGGCCTGGGTTTCCCCTCCCATGCTTGCTCCTATCCAAGCTTCTCCCCCTCCCGTGAGTAAATGAGTGAAGTAAGACAACCACCTTTTATTAGTAAACAGGCCCCTGCCTTGTGGGGCGGTCAGGTAACCCCTGGTACCTGCTGCCGCTAATAACGCCAGGCACCAGAGGCGAGTGTCCAGCATGGGGCCCCAGTGGTGCAGCCAGCAAGGAGGGTTCTGGCTCTCTCAGTGCAACCCCCATGCCAAACTTCATGGCCAAGGGGGCAGCAGAGAGGACAACCCTCGGTGTCTCTCCCCCCTAAGTCAGCAGAGGAAAACCACACGCTGGCTGCCTTGCTGTGATGCCAGTGTCCCTGTTCCACCTGCTGTGTGACCCCAGTACAGGAATCTCAGTGCCCAGGGCCTGCTGTGTCAGCCACCACTTTCAGGGGGCACCGGCAGGGCTCAGCGCTGCTCCCTCTCGTCCCAGCTGCGGGGCCTGCGCGCCAGCTGCGGATTGAACTGGGAGTTGTAGCGGCGTTTCCTGTCGTCAGGCTCCTCCTCCTCCCCGCGTTGGGGTTCCCCTTGCCGCCCAGCCAGCAGGGCTTCAGTCCGGGCTCGCTCGGCCTGCTCCCGCTGCAGCCGCTCCCGCCGCAGCTGCTCCAGGGAGGGGAGGGCAGAGCTGCAAGGACAAGCAGAAGGGAATGGTCAAGTTCCTACAGACCTACGCCAGCTGGTGTCTAGATGTGCATCCCATGAGGCCTACAACTCCCAATATGCAATCTCCCTCCTAGGGGAGTGATGCATGCTGGGATAGGTAGGCCAGGCCACTGCCCAGGAACAAATGTGTTGACTACATGCTGAGACATGTAGTTTCAGTAACACATACACACCCCTGTGCAGCTGGGAACAAGGGAAGTAAATTGTGCACTGATAATTGTTGTCCTGTGGACCGGGACATTGCATGCTGGGATTTGTAGTCCATGTAGCGAGGAAACAGGCTGGAGCATTGCATGCTGGGACTTGTAGTCGCTGGGCCTAGGAAGCGAGCTGGAGCATTTATGGTCCCTGTGCCTAGGAAGCGAGCTAGAGCATTGCATGCTGGGACGTGTAGTCCCTGAGTCCTGCCGAGTGCTCTCTCTAACCCTGCCCCACATCCAACTCACCCCACTGCCGCCTTCTCCCCTGCTGGCTTCTCTTTCTCCTTCTTGCGCTTCTTCCCCTCCCCTTTCTTCTTGCGCAGGTGCCTCTCCATCTCCCGCAGGGGGTCCAGTCTGCCCTTCAGCTGCTCCTGCGTGGTCACCACAGCTGCCTCCCGGCTGCGGTCAGGGGCTTCCTGGTACCACGGTCGGCTGGTCTGGGCCTCAGCCGCACTCTGCCCCAGATAGGTCAGCAGCCCGATAGTCTTCTCCTGCCGCTCCTGGTTGGGGCAAAGCAGGGAGGGAAGCGTGCTGAACTGAATCACCTTGAAGAAGGGGGTGCCCCATCTGCTAAGGGAGAGGGTGGGACTGATCATGGCCCCACTGTGGAAGGAGACACTGGGGGAAGTTTTTGCCTTATGGGTAGAGGAGCCAGGGGGCAGCTCATGGGATGGGGGAGAGACACTGAGAGGGGAACCAGCGTGCAGGGCAGGTGAGTTGTTAACCCTCCCCTCCCCCTGGTGGTGTAAGAGCACCTGTGAGTGTTGAGGGGGAACCCTAATTCTGTACACAGCCTCCCACTCCAACAGGGGTGTGTGAATCCCCACCCTTGTCCCCTCTACTCCGAGATGCCAAGATCTGAGGCTTGTCTGTACCCCATCTCTTGTAACGGGGTGGGGGGTAGATACCCCACCCCACTGCACCAGCCCCCTCCCATCAGTGTCCCAACATAGGGGCAACCTAACCCCAGCAAGCCAGGGTGGGGCTCACCACGCCCAAGGGATGAAGGTGCCCCCCAAACTCAAACACACACCTCCCCACCATTACCTTTTCCCTGCGCTTCTCCTCCTCATACTCCTTGTTCCCGGCCTTGGAGCCCTTGCCTTCCTCCAGGTCCCGGAAGAGGTCGACATGGCGTGAATCATCGCCAGTGGGGACCAGCGCCGAGCCGCCATCGGGTCCTGGCAGGGCAGACACTCGTGCCTTCTTCCTCAGGAACTCGGTCCGTGCCTGCAGGGGGAGATGGGGGGGCTGGTTCTGGGACCGGCTCTGCCGTGGGCATCAGGGGCCAGAGCAGCCGGTGGGCTCTGTGCTGGGAGTCAGGGGGGCTAATGGGGTGTGGCGAGGGCAGCATGGCACCAGGCTGAGGCCTAACAAACTCATTTCACCTGGGACAAGGACAGATCATGCAGGGGCTGGTGATGTTACCATGTGCCATTCCAGCCACCCCACTGGGGCAGGTGGGATTAGAGAACTACCCTCTTTGGAAATGGTTCAGCCCGGCTATCTTCGCCTCTCCCCTTTGGAAATGGTTCAGCCCAACTCCCCTTTCCTCCCTTTGGAAATGGTTCGGTTCAGCTCCCTTCTCTCCCCCCCCACCTCTTTGGAAATGGTTCAGGCCGGCTCCCTTCGCCTCCCCCATTTGGAAATGGTTCAGCCTAGCTTCCTTGTGCTCTACTTCCCCCCTGTTGTGGTTCAGCCCAACTCCCATTTCCTTTTCTTCCCCTCCCCGCATTTGAAAATAGTAAATCCCAGCCCTCTCCTCTCCCCCCATTTAGAAATGGTTCAGCCCAGCTCCCTTTTCGTCGTTCCCCGATTTGGAAATGGTTCAACCCAGATTTCACCCCCAATTTGACAATGGTTCAATCCGTGACCCCGTCACATGATGGAGGACGCTTTCCCATTGTTAACGCATCCGTACTCGCTACACCCTCGTTTCCGACTGCGCATGCGCAGTGACTCGCCTCCTGTTCGGCCAGCAGGGCCCGGGCCTCCCGCTGTCGCTGCTCGTCCTGCGCCTGCGCCTCGTCCCGCCGCACGCGGGCCACATTGTCCTTGTTCCGCACGTGCCACGACTTCTTGGGCAGGATATTCATGGTCCCGCCTCAGGTCCGCACTGCGGAGCGCCACTTCCGCTTCCGGGTCAACGTCTTGCCGTTGTACTGATTGACAAGCCCTGGTCGCTCTCTGATTGGCGGACCCTAGTCCTCCCCTCGTTTCCTGATTGGATTAGTCTAGACCCACCCTCCGCAGCTCCCTGTTTTCTGACTGGATAACACCGTGGCCGCCCTCGCGCCTTGATTGGCCTATTGGAGACTCAACACTCCCCTCCCGCTTTACCTGATTGGTTCCCACTCAAGCCCCCTTGTCTCTCATTGGTGCATTGTAGTCACGCCCCCCCCCTCACAAAGCACTGATTGGTCCAAGCGGGCCTCACACCCCCACTGTTCCTGTAGCCGATTGGCTGGGATGAGGCCCCACCCCTTCTTCACACCTCACCTCCCCACACATTGGGGCTGGCGCCCCCCAGAGTGGAGAGTCCCAGTGTCCTTTCCTGTCTCTCCCCCCCCCCCCCCGCATGAGCAGCATGGCCGCCGCCCCGAGCCGGTGGAACTCCCCGCCACAGGACGTGGGGCCGGGCCGGCCTACGCTCAGGGAGCCTCCGGCCCTCCCTGGGCCCTGACCCCTCCCCCCCGCAGCCACCCCCCAGCTTGGGGCCTCCCCACACCTCCGACTGCGGGCGGGGAAGTCCAGCCTGCATCTCTCCCCAGCTGCCAGGGCCGGCGCAACCCATTAGGCGACCTAGGTGGTTGCCTAGGGCACCACGATTTGGGGGGTGGCAACCGCGGCGGTATTGCGGCAGCGGGACCTTCCGCCGCCTAGGACGGCAGAAAAGCTGGCGGCGCTCCTGCCAGCCGCCCTGCGCCGCCCCGGAGCCCCAGGAGCAGCCCTGACAGAGACGGGATCCTGGGCTGGATGGACCATTGCTCTGCCCCCCGACGGCCGTTCTTGTGCACTCTGCACACGCAGAAGTACACGGTCTCCCATGCAGTCGGGCCGGAGGGAACGGAGCAGACGCTGAGATAGTGAAGGTGGCTGGAGGGGAGACGGACAAACCCACTGCTTCTTGCCTCCAGCCCTGCACACCAGCTGCCCCCACACCCTCCGCCGCCCCCTGGATTACTTACACATGGGCCTGGCAGAATTCAATTTTTATTTTATAATTTCAAACCAAAACTAGCATTTTATTTTTAAGATTTTTTTTTCAGATTTAACATTTTCCCAGTTGCAGAAAATCACAGGAGATTCAGAGAACAGGGGGAGGGGGGGAGTCAGACAATGATTTATCAACAGCAGGTGTTAGAGACTCAAAAAGTCACAGCTTTTAAAAGCCGTTCAATTGTCAGCATCGCATCTCAAAATACACCGAGGAAAGAGCCTTAAATCAAACGCTGTTACGTTGTCAAGCAGGGTTGCCCCTGACTTGGCCGAGCTGTAAATGGTGATTATTGTTGATGGGAATCTCGCTTTGCAGGTTCGTGTGCGCGGTGAAATCAGAGCCTAGGCAGGGAGGTGGCCAGCCTGGAAAACCCCACTCAGGGAGGGGAGAGAGACGCGGGTCTCTGCCCAAGAGGGGTGACAGCCGGGGACCGGTAGACAGGGAATACAAATGCAGCTGCCCTGGAGTGCGACAATGGAGTTCTGCTGCCAGCCAGTAACGAGGGGTTCACCCGCTGTGTGCTCCGTTCGGAGGCCGTGGGGCTAGCCCGGGGCAGGACGGAGAGTGTGAGAATTGGGGCCTGAAGGCCAGCAGCCCAGCCCATTTCAGACACAAGCAATTCCACCTTCTCCTCCTGCAAAGCCCCCTGGGATGTCAGTCACACACAGGGTTTTGCTTCACTTCCTGTCCTAAACTGAACAGCGTCACTGGATGTCAGTAAAGAGCAGCTGCTAGGTGAGGGGTCCCTGTATAACCAAACCCCACACCCCACTCCAGAGGGGCCATGTCTCAGTGCCAGGTGAGAGGTCTCTGTATAAACAGCCCCTGCGCCCCATCCCAGAGAGGCCGTGTGTCTGTACCGGGCGAGGGGTCCCCATATACCCAGCCCCCACACCCCACTCCAGAGGGGCCGCAGCTCAGCGCCGGGTGTGTGATTCTTACACACAGTCCATGAATGAGCTCTGGGTTCTTTGGAGGTTATTGTAGTTTTCTTCCAGCAGGGGCTGGGTTTGGCACACAGGCAAATGGCAGGGGCGGGACGGGTCCGACAAGGCAGGGTCAAGAGTCATCCTCAAATCAATGAGACTGGCGTTTTCTTGCAGCTCTCTCCTTAGCTGAGCTCCGTGATCTGAGTCACTAAGAAGACCTTATCCCGCCCCTCCTGTGGGAAAAGGAACGGTTAAAAAGAGGTGGGAAACCCCGGAGGGTAAGTACAGCCATCAGGGGCCCATCTACCCCGGTATCCCGGCTCTGCCTCCACCCACGGCCCACCTACTTCAGAGGAGGGACACACGGCAGCCTCTAGTGGCCAAAGCGAGGAGGACGCTGCTCCTCATTTCTCCCTCTCAATATCCCACCCTGCCAGGCCCGGGATCATCTTGCGGCAGGGAGTCCCACCGGCTAACGGTGACAGATGGGAGCCGGCGCCGCCCCCAGTGGCAAAAAGCCCCATGGCCCCAGGACATCACTCACCAGCCGCAGCTGCCCTTTGAGTTCCTTCACCAGGGAGCTGTAGGAATGAGCCAGGGCCATCAGGTAAAACATGAGGATGCTGCAGTTGGGGGATGGGAAGAGAAAAGCGGGGGGGGGGGTTTAGACGGTGCATGAGAGATGGGGTCAGGAGCAGCGAGGCAGGGATGCGGCTGGGGGGTTGGGGGGGGAATATCCGCAGAACCAGCACAGAAATTGTGTGTGTCTGTCCATCCCTGCTGCCCCCTGCTGGCGGGGACAAGCCCTGCTCTGTGTGCGTCCGTCCATCCTCCCGCCCCCACTCTCTGTGTGTCTCCGTGTCCCTGCTGCCTGGCATCAGACCCCCCTCCATGTGTCCTATCCCCCGTAGCACGCCCCGGCCCAGGAGGATTCCCCGGCGGCCCCTCACCACAGCAGCAGGAAGAGTGGCACGGCGAAGGCCAGCGATCCCACAAACTGCAGGAACTCCCTGGCCACATGGGGCAGGGTATCGATGGCCTCCCAGAGGGTGCTCCACATGGTCGGCTCACCCCGGAACGGGCCACAGGCGTGGGAGGGCTGGAGGCTGCAGGGGGAAGAGAGAGTGAGTCGGGGGCGGGGGGACTGAGTCCAAGGCAGGGGAGGAGAGACAGCGCGTGGGGGGGGGAGGATCGGGGGTTTGTCATGCTGGGGGGAGGGGAAGGTCAGGGGACCCTGGGGGCCTGGGTGAGGTGGGG